CTGCGCAGGTAGGGCCGGACAGGGGGTGTGGGGTGGGGGGACGGGGACACCGCGGGGATGGGGACGGAGGGACAGGGACAGAGGGACAGGGGGACAGGGGGACAGGGACACCAGGGACAGGGGGACAAGGGGATGGCACCACCAGGGGGATGGGGACACAGGGACAGGGCCATCAGAGCCTTGGGGACACAGGGATGGGGACAAAATGGGGTTGGGGACAGGGGCACAGGGCCACCAGGGACAGGGGGACATGGGGACATGGGGACATGGGGATGGGGACACAGGGACATGGGACACCGTCAACACCGCGTCACGCATGGAGTCCACCGGGCTGCGTGAGTGACAGGGACAGGGGACAGGGGGACATGGGGACACTGGGACAGGGGACATGGGGACATGGGGACACAGGGACAGGGGACATGGGGACATGAGGACATGGGGACATGGGGACATGGGGACAGGGGACATGGGGACAGGGGACACAGGGACAGGGGACATGGGACACAGGGACACAGGGACAGGGGACATGGGATGTGGTGATATGGGGACATGGGACATGGGGACACAGGGACATGGGGACAGGGGACATGGGGACAGGGGACACAGGGACAGGGGACATGGGCCACAGGGACACAGGGACAGGGGACATGGGCCACAGGGACACAGGGACAGGGGACATGGGCCACAGGGACACAGGGACAGGGGACATGGGCCACAGGGACACAGGGACAGGGGACATGGGCCACAGGGACACAGGGACAGGGGACATGGGCCACAGGGACACAGGGACAGGGGACATGGGCCACAGGGACACAGGGACAGGGGACATGGGCCACAGGGACACAGGGACAGGGGACATGGGCCACAGGGACACAGGGACAGGGGACATGGGCCACAGGGACACAGGGACAGGGGACATGGGATGTGGTGATATGGGGACATGGGACATGGGGACACAGGGACATGGGAATATGGGGACACAGGGACAGGGACTGGGGACACAGGGACAGAAGACACAGGGACAGGGGACACAGGGACAGGGGACACAGGGACAGGGGGACAGAAGACAGGGGGACATGGGGACAGAAGACAGGGGGACATGGGGACACAGGGACAGGGGACATGGGGACACAGGAAGAGGTTGGAGAAGCAGGAATGGGGACAAAGGGACAGGACGGAGGGTGCAGGGACAGGGAGGCAGTCATGAGGGCACAGGGCCAGGCTGGGTGGCTGTCCCTGGGGTCCTGCTCCCTCTGTGCTGTTAGGGTGCTGTCCCTGTCCCTGGGGTGTGTCCCTGTCCCTAGGGTTGTGTCCCTGTCCCTTGGGGTGCTGTGTCTGGGGGTGCTGTCCCTGTCCCTGTGGTGTGTCCCCATTCCCGTGGCGTGTCCCCATGCCCATGGCATGTCCCCGTGGCATGTCCCTGTCCCTGGGGGTATGTCCCTGTCCTTGTCCCTGTCCCTGTCCCCGTGGCGTGTCCCCGTGGTGTGTCCCTGTCCCTGTGGTGTGTCCCCATTCCCGTGGCATGTCCCCATGGCGTGTCCCTGTCCCTAGGGATGTGTCCCCGTCCCCACGGCGTGTCGCCGTCCCCGTGGTGTGTCCCCGTGGTGTGTCCCTGTCCCTATCCCTGTCCCCGTCCCCGTCCCCGCGGTGTGTCCCCGTGGTGTGTCCCTGTCCCCATCCCCGTCCCCGTGGGTCCCCGTGGTGTGTCCCTGTCTCCCCGTCCCCATCCCCGTCCCCGCGGCGTGTCCCAGTCCCCACGGTGTGTCCCCGTGGTGTGTCCCTGTCCCCGTCCCAATCCCCATGGCGTGTCCCCGTGGTGTGTCCCTGTCCCTGTCCCTGTCCCCGTCCCCATCCCCGTCCCCGCGGCGTGTCCCAGTCCCCATTATATTATATTATATGATATATGATGTGATATGATATGATATCTGATATTAAATTATATTAAATGAATTTATATTATATGAAATCATATTATATGAAATCATATTATATGAAATCATATTATATGAAATCATATTATATTATATTATATTATATTATATTATATTATATTATATTATACTATATTATATTATATGAAATTATATCATATCACATTATATGAAATTATATTGAATGAAATTATATTATATTATATTATATTATATTATATTATATTATATTATATCATCATATCATATTATATGAAATTATATGAAATCATATTATATGAAACTATAGTATATGAAACTATATGAAATGATATTATATTCTATTATATGAAATTATATTAAATTAGATGAAATTATATCATCATATCATATTATATGAAGTAATATCATATGAAATTATATTATATGAAAATATATTATAGGAAATTATATTATATTATATTTTATGGAATTATATCACATGAAATGATATTATATGAATGATATACTAGACCTATACAAAGCTATAGAGGAAAGGATAGATCCGAGCACTAGAAAAGAATGAACAAATAAACGCCGTGGCTTCTCAGAGCCTCCACAAGCTGCCTTTGCCTGGTCACGAGTAAAAACAATTCACGTGCTCCGTAAACAATTCAACAATTCCCCAAATCACATCCCGGGGCAGCAAAGCCGGGAGGAGCTGGAGCTCCCAGCACGAAGTCCTGGGCAGGGGAGTGTTCCCAGGAAATGCCACGAAGGGGGATGGGGATTTGGGGGAGATGGGGGGGGTAGCGGGGGACCTGGGGGGCAGGGGACAGCTTTGGGGTGGGGATGGCCGGGGGGGACACACTCAGTGATGTCCCCTCGCTGTCCATGATGTCCCCTCACTGTTCCTGATGTCCTCTCGCTGTCCCTGTGTCCCTGATGTCTCACTGTCCCCTCGCTGTCCCTGATGTTGGGATGGGGATGGGGGTCTCTGTGCTTTGGGGGAACCCCGGGCTGGGGATGGGGGTCTCTGTGCTCTGGGGGGCTCCCGGGATGAGGGTTGGGGTCTCCATCCTCTGTTAGACCCCCGGAATGAGGGTTGGGGTCTCCATTCTTTGGGGGAACCCGGATGGGGATTGGGGTCTCTGTCCTCTGGGGGACCCCTGAGCTGAGGATCAGGCTCTCCATCCTCTGGGAGACCCCCGGGAGGGGGATCGGGGTCTCCATCCTCTGGGCACTCCCAGGACGGGGATTGGGGTCTCCTTCCTCTGGGAGACCCCCGGGATGAGGGTTGGGGTCTCCTTCCTCTGGGAGACCCCCGGGCTGAGCGCTGGGGTCCATGAAAAACCCTTCTCCCACCTCCGTGCCTCAGTTTCCCCGACTTGCGTCCCTCCCTCACCGAGCTCCTGGGGGGTCTCTGCTTTTCGGGGAGGGGGGTGTCACCGATGGAGGGGTGGTCCCCGCTGACGGGGGGGTCTCTGCCCCCAGCGGGTGACCCGCTCCCCTCTCCTGCGCCGCCACGGCGTCCCCGAGTGCATCCTGCTGGTGACGCAGCGCATCACCAAGTACCCGGTGCTCATCGAGCGCATCCTCAAGAACTCCAAAGGTACCGGGGGGAGGGGTCGGCAAGGAACGGGGACCACCCTTGGTGGGGGCGGGGCAGGAATCCCAGCTTCCCTCCCCTTCTCCCAGACAACGAGGGGGACAGCGCGGACCTGTCGCGGGCGCTGCGCCTGGTGAAGGAGCTGCTGTCGGCCGTGGACGAGGAGGTTCACGCCTGGGAGCTCCGCGGGCGCCTCTGGGATGTTTTCCGGCGCGTGGATCCCCGCGCCAAGGTGCCGCTGCTCTGGGACAGCCGGCCCGGGGCCTTCGGCAGGGACGAGCTGCTCCGCAGGAAGCTGGTGCACAGCGGCGGGATGCTCTGGAAAACGGCGGCCGGGCGCTTCAAAGGTGGGAGATGCCGGGGGGGGGGAAAAAAAATGGGGATTGGGGATGATGGGGGAGCTCCCAGGTGATGGGGGATGGCCGTGGGAGGGCCTCTCTGAATTTGGGGTCAGACTGGGACTCAGGGGGGGCTCAGCGGGGTGAACCCCCCACTCATCCCGGCTCATCCCAGACGTGCTGGTGCTGCTGATGACGGACGTGCTGGTGTTCCTGCAAGAGAAGGACCAGAAATACACCTTCCCCATGCTGGTGAGCTGAATAAATGCACCTTCCCCAAGCTGCTGAGCTAAATGCACCTTCCCCAAGCTGGTGAGATAAATAAATGCACCTTCCCTGTGTTGATGAGATAAATAAATGCACCTTCCCCATGCTGGTGAGCTGAATAAATGCACCTTCCCCTTTCTGCTGAGCTAAATGCACCTTCCCCAAGCTGGTGAGATAAATACACCTTCCCCATTCTGGTGACATAAATAAATACACCTTCCCCATGCTGGTGAGCTGAATAAATGCACCTTCCCCTTTCTGCTGAGCTAAATGCACCTTCCCTAAGCTGTGAGATAAATAAATACACCTTCCCCTTTATGGTGAGATAAATAAATACACCTTCCCCATGCTGGTGAGCTGAATAAATGCACCTTCCCCTTTCTGCTGAGCTAAATGCACCTTCCCCAAGCTGGTGAGATAAATAAATGCACCTTCCCCATGCTGGTGAGACAAATACACCTTCCCCATTCTGGTGGCATAAATAAATGCACCTTCCCCAAGCTGGTGAGATAAATAAATGCACCTTCCCCATGCTGGTGAGACAAATACACCCTCCCCTTTCTGGTGAGCTAAATAAATGCACCTTCCCCATGCTGGTGAGCTGAATAAATGCACCTTCCCCATTCTGCTGAGCTAAATACACCTTCCCCTTTCTGGTGAGATAAATGCACCTTCCCCATGCTGGTGAGATAAATAAATACACCTTCCCCAAGCTGGTGAGCTAAATGCACCTTCCCCATGCTGGTGAGCTGAATAAATGCACCTTCCCCTTTCTGCTGAGCTAAATGCACCTTCCCCAAGCTGGTGAGATAAATAAATGCACCTTCCCCATGCTGGTGAGACAAATACACCTTCCCCATTCTGGTGGGATAAATAAATGCACCTTCCCCAAGCTGGTGAGCTAAATGCACCTTCCCCATGCTGGTGAGCTGAATAAATGCACCTTCCCCTTTCTGCTGAGCTAAATGCACCTTCCCCAAGCTGGTGAGATAAATAAATGCACCTTCCCCATGCTGGTGAGACAAATACACCCTCCCCTTTCTGGTGAGCTAAATAAATGCACCTTCCCCACGCTGCTGAGCCGCCCCCTCCTCACCCCGACCCCCGCGGGGGGCTCCGGGGCAGCGTTCCCCCCCTGCCAGCGCTCCCCCATCGCGCAGGACAAGCCGGCCGTCATCTCCCTGCAAAACCTGATCGTGAGGGACATCGCCAACCAGGAGAAGGGGATGTTCCTGATCAGCGCCGCGCCGCCCGAGATGTACGAGGTGCACGCGGCCTCCCGGGACGACCGCAACCACTGGATGAAGGTCATCCAGCAGGCTGTCAGCCTGTGAGTGTCCCCCGGGGCTTGGGGACACCTGGGGATGGCTGGGAATTGTTGGGGGGTCCGTGGTTACAGGGTGGGTGGTGGTGGGTGCTTGGGTGGAGGGGAGAAGGGTGGGCGTGGGGTGGTGGGTTGGGGGTTCCTGGCTGTGACCCCCCATCCCGGCCCTGCCAGCTGTCCAAGCCGCCAGGATTTCCCCCTGATTGAGACGGAGACTGAAGCGTCCTTGAGGAAGCTGAAAGGTGGGGGCTCGTCCCTGTGTATCCCACCCCGTGCATCCCATCCTATCCCGTGCATCCCATCCCATGCATCCCATCCTGTGCATCCCATCCCATGCATCCCACCCCATGCATCCCATCCTGTGCATCCCATCCCATGCGTCCCCCCCCGTGCATCCCATCCTGTGCATCCCATCCTGTGCATCCCATCCCATCCCGTGCATCCCATCCTGTGCATGCCATCCTGTGCATCCCACCCCGTGCATCCCATCCTGTGCATCCCATCCCGTGCATCCCATCCCATCCCGTGCATCCCATCGCATCCCGTGCATCCCATCCCATCCTGTGCATCCCACCCCATGCCATCCCATCCTGTGCATGCCATCCCGTGCATCCCATCCCACCCCGTGCATCCCATCCCATCCCATCCCACCCCGTGCATCCCACCCCATGCATCCCATCCTGTGCATCCCATCCTGTGCATCCCATCTTGTGCATCCCATCCCATCCCGTGCATCCCATCCCATCCCATCCCATTGATCCCATCCCATTGATCCCATTGATCCTGTCCCATCTCATCCTGTGCATCCCATCCCATTCCACTGATCCCATCCCATCCTGTGCATCCCATTGATCCATTGATTCCATCCCACCCCATTGATCCCATTGATCCCATCCCACTAATTCCATCCCATTGATCCCATTGATCCCATTGACCCCATCCCACTGATCCCATTGATCCCATTGACCCCACCCCACTGATCCCACCCCATCCCATTGATCCCATTGACCCCATCCCACTGATCCCACTGATCCCACTGATCCCATTGATCCCATTGACCCCACCCCACTGATCCCACTGATCCCATTGATCCCATCCCATACTATTGATCCCACTGATCCCACTCCACTGATCCCATTGATCCCATCCCATCAATCCCATCCCACTGATCCCATTGATCCCACTGATCCCATTGACCCCACCCCACTGATCCCACTGATCCCATTGATCCCATCCCACCCCATCCCATCCCCTCGACGCCCCCTCCCCGCTGACCCCGCTGTCGCTCTGCAGAGCGGATGGAGCAGCACGACCGTCAGATCGCGGCGCTGCTGGAGGACAAGGTCGGGATTTTTGCCGACATGCTGGCGCTGGGCAGCGGCTGCTCCGAG